AAGTGACTTGTAGAAGAACGATTATGCTTAGTAATACAGAAAAACTAAATGAACAACAGAAAGGTGAAATATACTTTTGATCATCAAAAACGATACATTTGATTACCAAAATATGGTTGTTCCGAAATGATCATCAAAAAAAAGATATATTTAATCGCCAAACGTATTTCGCGTGGGTTTGAGTCTAGATGTCGGTGTGAGACAGCGTCTTGGTATGGGTATCTGGGTGCAGGTGTGAGTCTGAATATGAATGTGGGTCGAGATTTGTGGATGCGAATGTGAATTAAGAGAACACCCACATTTACAGCCACTCATACTTAATACCTTTGGTGATCAAAAAAACTTTTTTTCTCGTAATCTTTTCGCAACCAAAAAAAATTCGTAATCGAATGTATGTTGTTTTGCAGATTATTTCGCAACAAAATGTCTGATGATCAAATGTATCTTTCTTTGTGATGAAAAACATTCATACCCTAACAAAAAGGGCCTGACCGGTGATCGAAACCGGAGCCTCTCGCACCCAAAGCGAAAATCATACCTTAGACCATCAGGCCACGTTTATTGAACTCGAAAAAAAGGATTATCGAACAGACACACTTCTATCAAACAGTTTATTACTTTGTCGATGAAAGTGCATCGAAATATAAAATTGATGTTTAATTAAACTTTTCACTAGTATTTTAAAAATACATTTCATGATATGATGCCTTACATTTGTCTTCTTTTTCATGTCAAAGAAGAGAGAACTAGTCTATGAAAAGTTTTGACATAAGAAAACTGAATTGTTATCACATGAAACATAATTGTACTGTTGTTGAAATAAAAAAATAAAATCTTCCATCTTAATCTACTGCGACAATGTCGAAGGCGTTCGAAGTACCTTGCTATTTTTGATTATTATATCTAAAATTGAATACGTTTTGAACAAACAAAATTATAGGAAAATAGTATCCAAAAACTGATAATCTGAGATAACAGAGAAAAAGAATAATTCGAAAAGAACAAAAGTCTATCGTACTTGTAAGAATCATTTTAGGCAGTACACATTATTGCTGATTGATATTTTCAATTCGAAATATTGTACTGATAATGAGGAAAATTTTTCTTTCACATAAATAATAAATTGATAGTTAGTCAAATAAAAGTCATTCATAATTATATGAAATCTTTATCACAAAACCTCAATGTAGTTTTACTTTTATCTAATTCCAATACTATTAATCACGTCATTCATCTGACAAATAAACAAACATTTTTTTATTTATCACATATATATGTGAAAACATCATAAGTTTTATAAAGCACGTTCAACAACGCCATTTAAAGTCTGGACTCGAATGTTCATGTTTTTTTTACAGTTTAGTTGCTTTTTCATCTCTTTTAATAGAATTTTCTTTTGTCATTCGATGGCATCAATATTTGTTTTTACTACTATCGATCAAAACAAATATTTTATTATGAGACAAAAAATAGAAACGAACAAAAATAAGTTGTCAATACAGCAAAAATGCAACAATATAGATATAATAAAATTTACCTATGTTATTTATTTAATGAGAGTTATTCTTACGAAGTATTTTTTTTAATGGAAAGAAAGTAAATTTTTTTAAAGTTAATTATGTACATTGATTTTATTATTATTATTATTTTAACTTAATATAGTACGTTAACAGTGACAAAAATGGAAAATCACACACTTAGTTCATGTCTATCACGACTCATAGCGATGTTATGTGAAAAACTTTTGTATAGTAAAGATAAAATTACTTTTAATGTTTTTCTACTTTCTGTGTAAATTTCAAAGTAGAAACATCGTCCATATTCTTACTGCGTTGATAGTATCGAATGCATGTAATTCACTACAGTATACCACAATAATCATATCGGTGAATATCATTTTTGCTTTTCAAAAAATCTAAAGTATTCATCGTATTGATAAACAGTAGTTGCACATGAAAAAGCATTAGGTGATGTTTTTTTTTTGACAATTGGATATCTTGTTCATCTGCATTTTCCTATAACTTTATCGATGTAATCCATTTTCTAGGCTGGATATATTTAAATAGTTAATCAATAAAGAATATTCGATAGTCTAGCTCAGGTAGGATGATTCGGATTGATATCTAAATAACGAGAGGGCAAAAAGTTTTGAGATAAAATATTTGTTTATTTTTTTGCTTCATTGACAGTGCTTTCCAACGAGTCAAAAGCTATGGATTAAGACCAGCATATTACGCAATTTTCAAATATGAACTGAGAAATTTTATCTCAGTTTTTGTTCGAGAGTAGTTTAGTAATCTTTGAAAGACCGAAAAAATGAGTATTATTTGCATGCTTCGAAATGAACGATATCATGAGTATTCCAAAAGATTTCATTTAATTTATCATCCGTCTCTTACGAAAACAAACGAGAAAACTCAGGAAGAATTTAACGCAACAGAATTGGCCATGTTTCATACAGCTAATTCTCAAAGAACATTAATCAGTTAGAAAAACCATTGGTAAACCCTTCGATTCGTTCAAGAAAAAATCAGACAAATCAAGTAATTTCACATAATCCTAATGGTTCGATTTTGATGAACAGAGAAAAGCAACGAAAGAAATTAACATAACAGTTATAATTCTTTGTTAATGATAATAGATGAAAGTATATGTGAAAGACGATTTTACCATACCTTCTTGGTTGCGATCAGTTTTTTCTCAATTGAAGAAAAGAAAATATCCTCAAATTAGAATCAGACGGCGAGACAAAAATGGCCGCAATATGAAAACATGTAAAAATAGATATAGTAAGAGGATCAATGCAGATAGTTCGATTTAAGAGTAAATATTACGGTGTGAATCTAAGTGTGTGGGACTTTTCTTAAATCACACCCACATCTATGATTGAACATTCATAAAAAAAAATAAATTTAATCATATAGAACCATATACAGACATAAGTCAAGGCATCTGCTACGATAGTTGTTAGTTTTATGAAAACATAGGACAATGAAAACCATGCCAGGTGTTCAATAGTGAAGGTGTTTGTCCAAACATTGACAAGAGAAGATATACTTGAATCGTTTAGAATTAACCATTGCTTATGAGAAAATCAGTAAGTACTATTGATGACATTGATATTACGTTCATTCAGTGAACAAAAACACTGGCAAAACTTCAAATCAAATAAAAAAATTAATTTTTGACTATTCAATTTTGATAATCAACTAATAAGGGAACCTGTCCACCTTGGAAAGCGCTTTCCAGTTCGAATTCTGTACATAAGCTAGATCGTAATGAGGTATTAAAAAATCCAAAAAAATCAAGATCCCTAGACGTTCACAACAAAGTAATAGGTATTTTACTGAAATTTTAGCCCTGGCACGATATTTTCAAAACAATCAAATGATTATATTTTCGCCTGAAATTTTGCCTATTGATACATCTACTTTTGACTAGAATATTCCCTTCACAAATAATTGAATTCTTAAAATACACGAGATTGTTGAATCTCTCGTGGAAAATGAGTGATATTTGGGAAGTAAGTATCTCGCGAAAGGAACATTCTTTTGAAATGAAATTTTTAGAATATTCTAGGTAGAAGTAGGTCTAACAATAGGCAAAATTTTAGGTCAAAGTGTCGTCATTCTATTCTTTTGTACATAGTGTGCTATAGGCTAAAATTTTAGTAGTATAGCTATAGCTCTGTAGCAAAGGCGTGGGGACTCTTATCTTAGATTTACTCGTAAATATTGTTGAACAATATATTACTATCATGCCCTTGGCAATATAGTTAATAAAGAGTTATTGAAAAGTTTCTAGATAAGATGTTTGTTTGCTTTTGACCGGCTAGAAAGTATCTTCGATGAGTCAAAGCCTATGAGTAAGGATACTCTTTTTGAATATGCGCCTAGAAATTCTTTCTTGGTGTTTCTTCGAGAGTAGTGAAATAATCTATGAAAAGTCCAAAAAATTACTTTGAACGAAAAATTTTTGTATTTTCGCTATTGCGATTTGAAACTAAAAGTTGAGTCTTAATTTATATATCAGTTTATAGATCAAAAGGTACCCTAAAAAAATGTACTATTTGAAGTTCTCTTTTATCTTTCAACAAGACACTTCAAATTTTGTTCGTTCTAAATACTGATTTGTGAAAAATCGACAACCGTTTTACATTGAAAAGAGTTCTTTAAAAAAATGCTTGAATCAAGCTACAGCTTAGTTCAATGTCACATCTTGAGGAGAAGTGTCCACTCAACAAAACGACTCACTCCAACAATTTTTAGCTTGTTCGAAAAAAGAACGTTTATGGTAAACAAAAACCTGTTGGCTCACCATTTTCAAGTATTGCAAAAGGGTCCTCAGTGCTCTTGAACAAAAATAAACACAATACTTCTAAGCCTATATTCCAATTCTGGTTGCGACTTATAGTTTTTGGTACTTCTGAAATGCTTGTAAACAAACGAAAATGAACAAACATGTTCACCGAAAACATTAGCCCACAAGTTCCGACTGAACTAATTTTTTGGGCTTTTCAAAGACTATTTCACTGTTTCTGAACAAAACTTCTAAGCTAAAATTTGAAACAAGCACAAAATCATAACTTTCCACTCATCGAAAATGCGCTAGAAGTGAACAAACATCTTGTCTAAAAACTTTTCAATCACTCTTTATACTGTAGAATACACAAAATACAAAACTAAGAGATACTTAGGATAGAACACATATCTTGCAAGTTGCAACATTCTTGTGAAATATCTGTGACAACAAAAACTCTAATATATACATTAAAATTCTGTATGATATCAAAAGTTGTTAATGTGGTATTGATATTATAATCATAGTTTTTATTATTTGGTGTTTTATACGAGTTAACTATAACTGTGATGTTTATGATGATCAATTTAATACTCATCATATTAATTTTCAAAATTAGGAAACAGAAGGTATACATTCATTAAAAGGACAAACTGTATATTTTCTTTACAGAAATATTTTAAAGATAGTTCCATGTTAATTTAGTGTTCTTTTTTGGTGATTGGATTTAAGTCTTTGCTATTTAAATCATTCGATGTCATTGTTGGACTGGTTTCTTCAATCACTTTAATTACAGCTAAAACGTCATTTTCAGCTACCAATTCACAAAATTTTACTAATGTCAGGCAGTTAATTGATATACCACTTAATTCAATAGTTAAATCATAACCAATTTTTGGTTGATTCTCCTTCTTGCAAGGAAGAAATGATCGTTCATATTCATACATAAGATGAGCATATACGTAAACAGTGATATTCACTAATGTTGATTCTTGTTCTATAATATCAGTTATATTAGATCGAACAATTGTTGATGAAGTTCTACACTGTTTTTCACCCCAATCAGGACATTGTTCTAAACATTTTCGTACAATTTGATCAGCAAGAACATCTGGAGTTATTTCTATAATATGTTGATCACGAAATATCTTTCGTATTGAATGAAGTAAATGTAAGCGAAGATTATTTGCATGTTTATTGTTATATTTAATAGGTGATTTATGATCATGCGATATTAAATGTTGCATTTGACTTCTCGATTTTTCTTTCGATCGATCCGCATTTGAATATATTGAATTAGTTTTGATTTCATTTTGAGGATGAATGTTTTTAGGTATAAGAGCATGAGAAGCTTGACATAAGCTGGCCCAATATTCACTTCGACCTATGGTAGTGTAAGTATCATGACGTAAATCAAATTCACGACATTCAGCAGTTTTGACGGTTTCTGCTAAATCTAAGAATTTCAACAATGTTTCTGGAATCTGTCTATAAATTTCTTTAGTTTTTTCATGAATTTCAATTGGAAATAACGGTAAAATTTCATAAAGTGTAATTGCGGCTAATTCCATGTTTATGACTTCTATATAACAATAACAATATGAAGAAAACTGCTTAATTGAAGAACTTGAATAACCTATGGAAAATGTCGATTAAAACCAGTCACAGATTCAATTCAGAGATAATTCATCTTGTATTGTGTAACAGATAATAATCATAGTAGAAATATATTATAATATATATATATATATATATATAATCTATAGAAGTATGTAGGATTGTTTTCTACAAAACAACTCGACAAGGATATATAAGAGTAGAACGATCCGTTGAGTTTTTCTCTTTTATATTACGTTCAAGTCGTCAACAAGGGATTTGAATATGAAACAAATCGATAGAGAAATATGTTGCATTCTTTTACTGTTTTTTCCACATCAATTTTGGATCAGTCACGAGACATTGTGACTGAAAAAGTGGAAAAATCCAAATAATTGTGTCTTTCTCTCTCCTATCTCGATCATCTAAATTGTGAATATAGCTAAAACAAAATCACAGTTAATCGTTAATATTCGATATAATTATCAATTTTCTAATGTTGCTGATACTAAAATATTAAATATTACAGAAAAACAACTGAATAATATCTACATTGATATCAACATGTATTCAATTCTTCATTAATACAAATTTTCTTTGTCAAAACAAATTAATTTGCACAATGATTTTTCAGCTAATGAAGTTTCAATGGGTACACAAAGAAAGACAGAATTCAATGATTTTAATAAATATCTTCGAAATACGACGATATCAAGAGCAAACACTATTACGACCGAAAAAAAGGCAAAAAAAATATCAACAAATTTTCGATTTAATATTGTGTATACAAACGAAAACAAGGTAAATATTGAACGATTGTCAATGCTTCTCTATACATACATATAAATAAAGAATGTGAAGCAAACTAGATCTGTACGAATAAACGAAAATTTAATTATGATTTAACTATTGAATTAAATGAAATATTCGTAAATAAATATGGAGCAATTCAACTTAGTCAAATGATTGTCGAAAATTCTGATCAAGATTCGATTCGATGTATTCGAGAACTATATCCGTTAACATAGGATGATTTCTAGGAAATGTTCTTTTTATTAGCATCAAAATGTGAATCCAATGTTGATAAATTAGACGATTTAAATAATGATTCCATTGTTCAATTTTTTCAGTTCTATTGTCTCTTCTGAAGTGTCGAAATATAAGAATACACAAGGATTCACCCGTAAACAAAATGTGAAATGAATGATCCATATATATTTCAACTGTCTAACTACAGTAGTTTATGACATAATCAAAAGAAGAACCAAAATAGTACGAATAAAACAATAGAAACTGATCAGCAACAGTTCATTTTCCATCGAAATATAAACAAAAAGTGAATTTTCTATTGGCAGTAGTTATTTATCTTTGAAAATGATACACTAAATTTTGCAACTCTTCTTAATTCACTGTCACGGTGTATCAATGTCAAGATGAATTTAGTACAAGGTAGAATATTTTAGACAAGTGAAAAATCGAAAGTAAATGTTCCCACAAAAAACACCGTAAGGCTATAAATAATGGACGAACAATAAAATATAAACGTAGAATACAATTTCTACATGAAATAAATGACATCGAAAATACTACATATTTTCTTTTATTTCTATTTGAGGTCAATATGATTTACTAAGAAAATGAGATAAAACTTTACTGATGCAGAAAAATAACCGAAATAATATTTTTCGAGATGGAGAGAGTACAGGAAGAAAAGAAAACAAACTCAATTGTCTTTTCCTCGTTCATATCCTAGTGGAAATACTCATCAAACTAGTACAACTTGACTGCATGAGTACATAAATTACTCGCGTGAGTATTAGAGCAATTAAATGTTTATGAATATTGTTCTTGTATTCTGACGAGTTTTTTTGTCTCTAAAGATTTCCTCATAAGTGTTGACGTGAGTGAAAAAAATAATAATAGAAATTTTACATTAGAATAATTGTTTTATTTTCTTTTTCTTTTATTTAAAATAAATATATGTATATTGAATATTTCAATCTTTTCTGATATTGAATATTGTTCATCATCAACGTGTTGTTGAATATAATAAACCAATGTGTTCATGAAATAAAACTTAAGTTTAACCTTATATGATTATTTTTCATTTATTTAAGAGCGTGCATATCAATGTAATACTCATATTCGTTTTTGCATAGACTATTTAGTAAAATAATTTATGCACTTATATATACAAAACTGCATCGAAGTCATGTATTAAGAAGATGTCACCTTTCCAGGGTTACTGAAGAACGACACGTCATAAATATTTTGAAACTTTGAAGTAGATAGATCTTGATGAGTGAAGCAAAAGTTGTTATAGACTTCAGATTTCGAAATACTTCTTTGTAGGAAATATCTGGATCGCAACAGCTAAGACTCGTCTCGCTTACTCAACCGCAATACGTCAGATAGAGCTGGAAGTTGTTTTTTTACAGATACTAGACACTGTTTGCGATCCCTACTTCTTTTTAATTTCTGTTCATTATCTTCCATTTGAATAAAAAGACCAAAATACTGAACATACCTTCAAAAATATGTTTTTTTATTACAGCATTTTTTTGTAAAATCTGTCAAAAAAAAATGATGCAATATTTTTTCTGAACAAAACAAATTAAGTACCCCAAACAGTGCTCAGTACCTGCAAAAAAAATATTTCAGCTCGGTCAAACATACTATACCAGAGAAATGAAGAGAATTCTGCACTTTTTTTGTGTAAAAATTGATTTTGAACAAAACGAACCACAATTTTCTTGTATCTATCAGTGATCGAAAAACTAGACGTGTTCATTAGTGTTAATGGCTCATGACTCATGCTCACAGCACCTCTGGAATGAGGAATAATCATTATGATCAGGAAAATTTTGCATACAAAGAATAATCACAGTATGAGGTTTTCTTCTACGGATTTCGAAAGTTAGGTTTAATAAAAATGCTAACTAATTTACGAGTTTTTATCATCTACTTTTTTCTGATAAATTTAGTCTAAAAAATAAGTGAAATAATTCTTGACTTCGCGTGAATATTCACAACTAGCTTTGTTAAAGTTGCATACAATGTAAAACCGAATAAAATGATTGAGAGAATGAAGCTAAAAAGATAGAAAACTACTTAACAGTATATTATGTTGAAGAGCTCGCTTCAAAATCGATAAGAATTCAAAAAGAATGCAAGCATTAGTATTATTACTCTTTGCCATGTGTTTAGATTTCAAAAGAATATCGTCAAACAAATAGCAAAAAAATACATTCTCATCATCACTCAAATCTAGAGTACGGTGGGATCAAAATTTTCGGACTCCGTCGAATCGTACTTTCATGCTTTTAATCGGAACTGAATAGTGGCCCCAAAAATAAGAGATACTTTTTTTCTGGTTTATTTGTATTCGGTGACTAGTGCATTCTATACATTTCTCAAACAACTAAAGTACATCGGGAGCCTAAATTTTCAGAATCAACTGGACAAGCTCTACTTAATTCTCAAAATGGTACCTTTTTATTGCCTTTTTTTGCAGATTTATACACAAATTTTTCCATCAATTTTCAATAAAAGAAAGTATCAATATATAATAATCTCAATTACCAAATTCTTAACCCGTCGATCCTTTTTTTAAGTTTTTTAAATCAGAAGCATCGCTTTGTTTGAAGTTTAATGAATGTATACCGTTCGATTGATTATAGGTACTTGAAAACAATTTCAGATGAATGCGACATCTATTAATTAAAGTAATCTCAAAATAAATTAGGACAAATTAATATTATTTTTCTGTGATAAAGTAAAATAAAATTAACGTAAATTAGAATTTTTTATAAAAATTCAAATAATCATTTTTCATAACCACGAGTTAGAAGAGTTTCTATTCGAATTGGAATCGATATTAACCATTCAAGTAACGCGAAGAAATAATTTTGAGTCATTATTACTTTGTAAAACTTTTGATTTAGATTATTTAATTTTCTTCGATTAATTAATAATTGTTCTTATGTATTTTAGATAGTCAATCAAACAATGACTCGTGTAAAGTGCTCAAAACTGCGTGGAAAAAAGCCCGGTATGATATATATGATAAATCCATTTAATTTGTTTATTTTCTTACTGTTATATTTTTTTAGATGAACTCCAAAAACAATTGGAAGAATTACGTCAAGAACTTAATTCACTTCGTGTGGGCAAAGTAACCGGCAGCGGTGGGGCACAAAAATTGGGCAAAATTCGCAATGTACGAAAATCCATTGCACGCGTCCTTATTGTTACGCATCAAACAACAAAAGAAAATTTACGTGCTTTATATCGTGGTAAAAAATATAAACCAAAAGATTTACGAAAACGTAAAACACGAGCTATTCGACGTTTATTAACACCAAAAGAAAAGTCAATGCAATTGAAAAAACTTCAACGACGACAATGGGCTTTTCCTCAACGTACTTTTGCTGTCAAGGCTTGAACAAGAAAAAAAAACGAAACAAACTATATTGTTTTGTGAAATAAAGAAAAAAGAAAAACATTGAGATGATTATTGTGATCATTAAATAACATCAAGTTTAATAAAAAGAAATAAACATATAAAAAAACAGTCTTTTAATATCATTTAGATTCATACATTCTTTTTTTGTACTTAGAGAGAAACGAGAAGAATATATTGAATAAAATAATGTTACGTTTGACTGAATATAAGAGAACGAAATAGATAGCAAACAAAAAAAAAACGAGAGATGGGCCTGACCGGTGATCGAAACCGGAGCCTCTCGCACCCAAAGCGAGAATCATACCATTAGACCATCAGGCCATGGGTCATTGAACTCGAATAAAATCATAATTGAACAGACACAATTCTATCAAAAACTTAATGAATTTTTTCAGTTTTACTTTATTAGAAATGCATACAGTTGGTATCGATGAAAAATTATCGAAAAATTAAATTATTATTTGATTCGAGTTTTGAGGATTTTTTTTAGAAAATACATTTCATAATATC